TATTATTATCATCAAGACATATGTATTATTGGTTATATATATATATATATATATACACACTGTACAATTACATACTTAGTAACACAATTGGTTTGTATACAAGTGACATGAGATACACGTGTTACATGCGAGAAGCTGTTGTGTTTCATATCTGGTCATGCTGCATCCTGTTCTCTGCTTGGGAATTCTGAACTGTAGTACAATTTTATGGAGCCATGGATATATATATATGGTTAGATGTTGTCCAAATGTACATTATGAGGTGCATAATTGTATAGGGTAATAGTTAAAAATATGAGCTTTGGAGTCATACAAACTTGGGTTCAAATCCTAGCTATGTTACTTACTAGTGATGTAAATTTGAGCATGTTATTTAACCTCTCTAAGCTTCAATTTTCTTAAATTAAATCAGATAATATAAGTATAGCACACTGGCTATACTTGAAAGCATCTCAGAAATTTGAAATGCTAAGCTCATGATATTTCAGCTGAATACCTATGATTCCTGGTAATTACTTTTCTTTTTACTTCTGTCGTCTACTTTTAGTAGGATGGATTTTCTGCTTCTGTCTCAAAATTTGGCTCTATTTTACAAAAATAGAAGACAACTAATATCGAAAAACTACACTTCATGTAATAAAAACCTAATTTTCTTCAATATCGAAATGACCTTATTTATTTTTCCCCATGGTTCACAGCACAAAAAAGATGAATAATTATCTTAGGCTACTCAAGTTACATATGTGAGCACTAAGGATTTAAAAGGGTTATTTATATTGACGATGCTTATTTGGAAGGTCAAATGAGTGATGTCTTTGCTGAAATATTTTCTCAGTCATTTGTCAAATTTAGGAAATATGAAGCATTTGTTTTGCTTTCAGGGCCTGCTGAAATTCTGTTATTGAATAGAAGAAGACATACCAGGAAAAAGTAAATTTAAGGGATTATTTTTTGTCATATTTCCTCTCATTAAGAAAATTGCATTTTCATATTAAAATATAAAAAAAAGCCCAAGATTTTGATGTAGAAAGTTTGGTTTATACTCCTTATTTACCGTAACCTGGAGCTCTGTTGGTGCAGTGACTAAGACATTTAACTGCTAACCAGAAGGTTGGTGGTTCAAACCCACCAGCCACTCCACAGAAGGAAGATGGGGCAATCTACTTCCATAAAGATTTACTAGCTAGGAAACCCAAGGAGGTTGCTGTGAGTCAGAATTGACTCGACGGCAGTGGGTTTTGCTGTTTTTTTTTTTTTTTTATTGACTGTAACCAGGAGTAAATCACAGGTCTACAATTAATTCATCTATTATTATTGGATAACATAAAGTCATTTCCTATGCAGAGCAATCCCAAATAATAGAGTACAACAGCCCCATAGGCCTCCCAAGGCTGTAATCTTTATGGGATCAGACTGCCACATTTCTCCCACAGAGCAGCTGGTACAGTCAAGCCACCAACCTTTCAGTTAGTGCTGTTATGCCACCAGGGTTCCTTCACTCACCTGTAAAACAGATGTAAATATACTGACTACTAGGTACTACCTACCTAGCATTTTTGTCTTGAGAATGAAATGAGATCATGTATGTGAAGGCAGAATTCTATAGAAAAACCAACCATTTAATGGTTAGAAGGACTTGAGCTTAATTATTAATCATAATCTGTGTGACATTAGCAAGTTCCAAAACTTTTCTGAGCCTCGTATTTTTCTGTACAATGGAGAAAACATTGTCTATTAGACAATATTGCCATGAGGATTTAATGATGTCACGTGTGACAAGCTTTCAAAAGAAAGTACTGTCTAACATTTTCTTTTTTTTTTTAATCAGCACAATGTTTTGTGAATGGGGTTAGATGTGAATATTTGTTGGTTCCATAAATGAAGTCTTTAAATTGACTTCACATAACATTTAAATGTACTGGCTTAAAATATAAAATTCCCTGAATTTCAAACCAAAGAGAATTGGTGAAATGCCTATCTGGAGAATGGACTATACTGCAGATGTTGCTAATAGTGCTATTATCATGGAAAGGTTTTTTCCATATATTATCCAGGAGTGAAGAGCATAAATTAACATATATGGAATGATCTATTTGTTTTTAATAAAAAAAAAATTTGAACAAAGAGCTTGGAAAAACATATTCCAATAACAGAAATGGGACAACTGGTGAATTTTATCTTTGCTTTGGGCTTATCTGTGTTTTCTAATGTATGTACAATAATATGTCATTATACAGATAACAAAGGAAATATTAAAATGTTGAATAACAATAAGAAGGAATAGAAACTAACCTCCTTCGGCTGAACAGATGACCACAATTTGACTAAAAGGTCCATCTCCTTTATTGTTATAAACGCCAACCTTCACTTCAAAGGGAGTAAGAGGAGGGACACTTTCATCTCGATAAATGAATTTTGAAGCTTCAGAAGATGTCACCATTTTTTCCTTCCAGCCACGTGTTCCATTGGGTCTAAAAGCCACAATATAACCAAAGCCTTCCCCATTCTGAAACTCTTCAGATACTGGCTAAAGAAGAAAAAATCCATTAATTATCAACAACATTAACATTAAGAAAAAAATAATCCAAGAACTTCAAATCCTTAATTTACTTATTTATTATTTTAATTTTGGATAACTAGCACTTGACTACTAATCAGAAGCCTGGCTGTTCAAACTCACCAGCCACACCTCAAAAGGAAGGTTGGGCAATCTATTTCCATAATGATATTGACTCGGAAAGCCAAGGAGGGGTCTCTATGAGTCAGGTCTGACTCGATGGCACATAACAACAACAACAGAGAAACAGACTTTCAAATATCTATACTATTTTGGAAACCAAAATAGCCAATCACATTGGTAATGTTTGGAAACCTAAGTCTGTAAAGGTAAGAGATGAAATATTAAATGATATCAGATGGTATTTAAGTAAACTGTCAAGAGTATGGAAAACTCTTGAAGTGAAACAAATTTGCTCCAATTAGTCATGTATATGAAATGAAGTTCCTGGGATTCTACACTAGAATTTCACATTAAGCAAACTGTCATATGGTCTGGTGGTTGGGAAAAGCTTGTCACTGGAACCACTCTGCAGAGCCCTTTGCATAGCAAATATAGAAGATATTAATGCAAGACTTTGTGCTTTACTAAATTTATGCTTTACTAAAATGTGAAAAAAAATCAGACTGTGATATTTGTTTTAGAAACTTTTTGTGTTATATGTGCTGTAAACTGTGAACTTTAAAATTCAGCTAAGGCCCAAGATGGGTTTTGTGGTATAGTGAATGACTTGGTTTGGCTTTTCCAACTAGTCTTTGTGACTTCTACCAGATCACTGGGTAAACCCCATAAACTCCATTGCCCTCGAGTCAGACTTGACCCATAGCGACACCTCCTTGGGTTCCTGAGGGGGTATCACTATGGAAGAAGATTGCCCAACCTTCCTGCTGAGGAGTAGTTTGGTGGGTTTAAAGGGCCAGCCTTTTGGTTAGCAGTCAAGTGCCTTAGGCACTATGCCACCAGAGCTCCCAATCACTGGGTTGTTGTTGTTATGTGTCATCGAGTTGGACCCGACTCATTGTGACTCCTCCTTGGATTTCTGAGGCAGTATCACTAGGGAAGTAGATTGCCCCATCTTCCTTCCCAGGAGTGACTGGTGGGTTTGAACTGCCAGCCTTCTGGTTAGCAGTCAAGTGCCTTAGGCACTATGCAAATAAGATATATGGAACTCTAGTGTAGAGATCGTTTAGTTTTATCATTCTGCTTAGCTTAAAATGAGCTCTCCTGGAGGCAGAAGGGGGTATCTCACTGCCATCAAGAAAGAGGAGTGTAGTGGATCCTTGGACTCAAGATCCCTGTGTTGGACCTCCTTGGCAGAGATACATGGCAGTGACTTCCAGCTGAGTGAGGGTGGCAGTGGAACCAAGAGGCACAAGACAGAGCTGGAGGCTTACTTGGCCCACAGAGTGAGAAAGCTGAGTGCCTGGGGGTGGGGTACACGTAGGTGTACTTACTGGCAGAGCTAAAAGAACTTTATAACTCTTGCCCCAGCAGGGCAGAGGCCAGGTCAAGGGGCCAAGGGCTAGAGAGGCATGCCTGAGGGTTTAGCAGAGGAGACACTGCCCTGATTGAAGAACAGTATCTTGAGTGCATTCCTGAACCTGAACTGTAGCCTGTTAGTACCATAAAAAATCCCATAATCATGAGTATTATCTGTGAGTTGTATGTGGCCATTGCAATGAATTATCAAATCCAGCAGTGTAGTTAGTGCTGTGGGAGGGACAGTTGGTGTCAGAACTGGTAAAAAGGCTGGAGGGTGGCAGCATGTCTGGCTTCATAGGAATAAGCCTTGGGCTGTTGATGGTGACTCTGTTTCCCCTTTGTGAGATTGGAGGAAGTCAGAGATGTCACCTCCATGCCCTTCTTGCAGGTTCACTCTAAAAATAGTAAGCCTGAGGTTGAAAACCAGTAGAAAAAAAGGGAAAAGCACCACTGAACATAAACATGTAGGTTTAATAGAGAGAGTCAATTTTCTGAAAGTAAGAATCAAATGCATACCACAGAAAGAAGTAATTATGATTGAATAGAGTTTGCCATGGAATTAGCAATGTTACCAATGACTGCTGAATGCAGTGCTTGGCACATGATAAATACTCAATAAATAATTGTTACATAAATCAATTTTTCCTTTATTTTTGTTTGAGGGAAAACTGTAGTCTGTGGAGGAAGAGAGACAAAGACTACTAAATCAAAGCTTATAGAGAAAGGCAATTCTATTTGTCAAGATATGATCTCATTGAAGGTCAGGTATTGTGAAGTTAATATCTGTACAGAAATTAAAAAAGAAAAACAAACACAGCATGAAGTTTTATTGAAGAAAAAGGGAAGGGACTGATGAACAGGACAGAGGATGTGACGGTGGAAGATTTCTTAGTAGGAAAATATTTTTTTTTCTTATGCATTTTATTATATTTCTTATAGACAGTGAAGGATTTATGTATTTGTTCAGTTTTCTTAAAGTCATTTTTATTTTTGTGTATTCTATGGGATAGTTCTGTGAGCTACATTAAAAAAAACACACACACACACTAATTACCCTCAAGTTGACTCTACTCATGGTGACCCTATGATTGTCAGAGTAAAACTCTGATCCAAGAGGTTTTCAGACTGATTTTTTGGAAGCAGATCACTAGATGTTTCTTCTGAGGCCTATCTGGATGGATTTGAACCTCTAACCTTTTGATTAACAGATGACAGCATTAATCATTTGTACCATCCAGTGACTCCTGTGAGGTACACAGCTATATTTGATAATAGAGTTATTTAACATTAAAGAAAAAAAGGTGGACTATGAGTGTATCCCTCACACCCCTCCTCCATGCTCCTTTTCCTTGACAGGAGAAATTTTGGAGTCATGTGAAATAGATTAAGATGACAAGTTTTGTATTTAAAGTTTCAATTCTATTGCTTATTAAGCAAGGCATGCACACTGTGCCTAAGTTTTGTAATTTGTAAAATAAGGACTATTTTCTCCACTGATGATATTGTTGTCTGGGTGTGTTGGATTGGGTTCTCTAGAGAAACACAAAAACCAGCAAAGTGTATATGTATATTTATAGAGAGAGAAAGAGAGAGAGAGAGAGATTTATCTTAGGTAAAAGGCTCACA